TATATATATATATATATATATATATTGCGGCAAAATAGGTTGTTAGATTACCTGATAGACTGAAGTACGCTTCCGATGAAACCACTTAGAAAGGATATCCTTCCAACATCATTCATTGAGTCGATAAACTTCAAGCCATAACCTATTCAGGATCATAAAATTCAACCAAAAGAGCAATAACATGGTTCAAGTTTAAACAATGGATGATAAGGATTTATGTTCCTAACGTTATTCATTCAGTTCATTCCTTTTCATGGCAATCAAACTTTCTTAAAATCTGAGGCTATAGTCATCATCTGTATTATTCTAATGAAATTTTCATTCTATAAACTTAATATGTTAAGATTTGAAAACCATCATACTATAGTTCTACGGATTTAAGATGGACTTACCATTCTCATGAATGTAAATAGGAGGATTTCTGTAGGTGTCTTTGAGATAATTCAGCATTTTTCGAAGGCTTTCAAAATCATGGGAGATTTGAGTAGGTGGACGAAGCTGAATTTACACAAATGTTATTAGTTAGCCCATCATCAAAATTTATGGGAGAACTGATAAGAAAATAAGGAGTTCAAATGGAAGAACCATGACGTCTCACCTGACTTACAGGAGGGACATCCTTGAATGCTACAATAAAACTGCAGGTAAATTTCCAAAATCCAAAGCTTTATTTAATTTTTTAAATAATTACTTTAAAGAAAACTAACCTGTAAACTTAGCAAACATGTCTGAATTAGCATCTCGAAGGCCTGTCTTGGGAATACTAGAGTCATCAGCCACATACAATGAGTAGTAATAGTTCATGCCAATGAAATCACATGACCCCTTCAATTTTTGAGATTCAGAATAGGTGAAAGATGGAAGCCGTGAGCCCGCATTTGTTTTTATCATCTCAGGGTAGTCTCCAAAAAAGATTGGGTTCAAGAACCTGAAAATTAAGCCTTTTACTAATTATGGTGCAAATTCATGTTCATGCAAGCATATAGAAGATAGAACGATAGAGCCTGACTGATAAACAGAGAGAGAGAGAGAGAGAGAGAGATGTAGAAGTAGAATAGCAAAACATTATTTCAAATTCCTTTAAATTCAAGGCTCAGGCCATGAACTCTGATTTACAATAAGGATATAGCATAAGTAATGAAGGAATTACTCAAAATCCAGTCTGTAAATTCATAACATGGGCTTAAATAGGGTATTAAATTGTTTTAGAAATAAACCTCTAAACTTCTTCAATATTACCTTCTTACCAATAGAATCCTAAATAAGGTTCAATTCTCAACATTTCCCCTCAAGATGGCAAAAGATATCCACTAAGCCCATCTTGTCACATAACCTAGACAAATCTAATGAACTAAATCCTTTAGTGAGGCAATCAACCACTTACTCTCCAGTGGCTACATGACTTAGCTCCGGTAGTTCGCCATTCAACTTTTCCTTGATGAAGAATATATCAATCTTCACATGTTTGGTTCTTGTTGGCAATGTTAATTGCTAACTTCTTGTCGCATCACAACTTCATTTGTATTCCTTGGTCCACCTTGATCTCGACCAACAAGATTCTCAGCTACATCATCTCGGCAACTCCTAAGGCCATGGTCTTGTACTCTACCTCTATTGTTGATCTTGCTACTACAGACTGTTTCTCGCTCTTCCAAGAGACCAAGTTGCCCCCTACAAACATGCAGTATCCTGAGGTGGAAATTTTGTCATCTACACAACTCATTCAATCAACGTCACAAAATCCCTCAATGTCTACATGTCATTCTTCCTGAAGATCAACCTCTTCCCTGGTGTACTCTTCAGGTACCTCAGAATCTGATACACTGCATCCATATAGCTATTCCTTGGATCATGCGTGTAGCAGCTCACCACGCTCATTGCAAAAGAGATGCCAATTCGGGTGTGGCACAGATTGATCAGACAACCCACCAATCTTCGAAACCTCTCACGATCAACTGGTTCTCCTACCTCTACACTCAACTTGGCCTTTTGATCAATTATATAGAATATAAGTTTGCACACCAGCATGTTTGTTTCAGTGAGATCCATTACATACTTTCTTTGGAAAAAGACTATCCCCTAAAGTCCACGGGCTACATCAATCCCAAGAAAGTATCTGAGTTGTCCAAGATCTTTCACCTCAAATTCATTGCCCAATCTTGTCTTTATTTAGGCAATCGCCGCCTCATAATCACTGGTGACAATGATAACATCAACATACACAACAAGTAGAGTGATGTGGCATTTATTTTGTGAAAGAACATCAATGGTCTACATTGATCTGTTAATATCCCATGCCCAACATAACCGTTCTAAACTTGTCAAATGAGGCTCGAGGTGACTGCTTCAAGCCATACAGTGATTTCTTAAGCCCACACACCTTGGCCACTGTTTGGACTGTACTGAAACTGGGTGGTACCTCCTCTAGTAACTCGCAATGAAGAAATGCATTCTTCACATCAAGTTGGTGTAAGTTCTACCCACCATTCACTGCCAGAGAAGTCAGTATCCTCACTGGGCTCATCTTTGCTAGTGTTGCAAAAGTTTCATCATAGTCAATACCATATATCTGACTGTATGCTTTCACCACCAGTCGTTCTTTGCACCACTCCACCTTCTCTTCTAGAGATTGCTTCACTGTGAAGAACCAATTGTACCCAACTACATTTTTCCCTGCTGGAAGTGACACTATCTCCCATGTTCGATTTTTATCAACTCTTAAGCTCTTCATGCATAGTCGCTTTCAACTTGGGATCCTTCTTAGCAACTTGTCAACACTTGAGTATTGAGACAGTGTCCAAAGACGTAATGAACAATCCACAAAAATGTGGTATGTTAAAATATGAAAAAGTTAACAATGTCATGTTCTCACCCAAAATGATCGGGAAAATGTCCCGCATTATTGCCAGAGGTCCTCCTTAAAGTTAGGGCGTAGGAGAAGGACGAGGAATCATATCACCTGGGAGTTCTAAGTCGGAGGTGGATGTTGTACGTGTCTTAAGTGTCAGTAAAGACCAAGTGACACTACAGACACCATTACCTTATTTTGCTTCATTCTTCGTGTATACACTCTTAACATACCTTCAACATAAATCTTACCATCTCTACGTTCACTCTCCTCATTTTCTGATTCCTCAACCGATTCAACCCACATCACAGTACAAGGCATAACTCCCATGCCACATATCTCTAGTATTTGACAAATCCCCGAAGGGTGAGGTCACCTTCTGAGTATAGTACGGTTCAAATTCTCTAAATGACACACCCATGCTCACAAACACTCTCTTCTCTATCGGGTTCCAATAGACGTACCCCTTCAGAACAACAAAATAACATACAAAAATACATTTCACAGCGCTGGGATCCAGCTTCCCTACTGATAGTCTGTTATCATCCACAAAAAATACACAACCAAATACCTTCAATGAGAGGATCCCACTATTATCTCTTTTCAACATCTGACAATGAGACTTCTTATCCAACACCTTCAAGGGCATCCTATTGACTAATTGAGCAACTGTCAAAACTTCTTGCCCACATAAGTGCTTTGGGACATTCATTGCGATCATCATGCTTTTAAGCTATCTCTAGAAGGTATATATTCTTCCTTTGTGCTTCTCCATTTTGTGTTGATGTATATAGACACGTGATTTGATTTTGTATCTCTTAGGCTGATAAGTATTCTGCAAATGTTTTGTTGATATACTCTGTCTCATTATCATATCTCAATACATTCACTATTGCACAATATTGAGTCCGGATTGTCTGAAAATAAACAGATCACCCTTATTTTTCATCACATATAACCAAGTAACACGAAAAATTCAATCAATAAAGGTCACAAAATAATAATAATCATTCATATAAGTTCTAAAATAAAGTCCCCAAACTTCATAATATATCAAGTCAAAAATACTAGAACTCCTATTCTTCGAATTGATATAAGAGCTCCTAGTAAGCTTGCCCAACTCACAAGCATCATAAACAAGTTTTTGTTTGTTTGTCTTTCATACAAAGAAGGATATAACAAACTCAATAAATTAAAACAAGAGTGTAACATGTGTCTGTGATGTAGCAGCAGCACATTCTCCACACTCCTCCCAAATTTTGCCACTCCATCCCTCTCTATCACGAATGTCAAAGCTGAGTAAATCCCCTCGCGGTCCAAGTACCAGAGTCCACACTACTTGTTTCAGTCCCAAGCGTCCGACCCGACCCTTTTTCTTAGAAGATCACCTTAAGAATATTAAAAAAACAACACATTTGAGTTAAAGAATAATGACAAAAATGGATAAAATGTTCACTGAAAAAGAAGCATGCAAAATATTTGAAAAAGTTATATAATTAGTACCCCTCACTATACCTTTATCAACAATGGGTTGTGTTGTACCATCAACAGTTTGGATACACTATAATACTGCTAGAGAAATATAGAAAGAAAACACTCAAGCATTACCTGTCACATATGCATCATAAGTACCTTTGTCAACGTGAGCATATGTGACAATGTTACCATTTGATGACAACTGATTGGAAGCATTTTCAACCCCATGTCATGTTGTTTTATGTTTCCTCTTTAATAACTCTTAACACTCATGATCCTCAGCCCCATGTCATGTTGCTTCCTCTTTAATAACTCTTAACACTCATGATCCTCATTGGTAAAAATCACACGTCTCTCCCTCCTCTGCTACCATTAAATTTGCCCAGTAACCCCCTTTCCACCTTTTCGACCACTACGACCATGACCAGCGCCTCCAACCCATCCACGTTCACCTATTTCTCTCTCCCTAGGTGGCCTAGAACAGGTCTTGCTTAGATGTTCAACTTCACCACAGTTGTAGCACATGTGATTCTCCATAGAAACCCATCATACCTGAGCTCGAGTCAGCTAAAGCTGATCGCGCACATGAAAGTCCACTCGGCTCAGAGTATAATTTCATGCGACTCACTTCCTGCAACATCGCAACAATGACCTCATCCAGTGAAGGGATAGTCGCCGAGCTAGGGGGACTGATCTCCTCTAATCAAAGGTTGGGTTCAGTTGTGCCAGAAACTGCATAGTCCTCATTTGTGTAAAAATCTCCCCTTTCATGCACTCCAGAGTGCTACAAATTGGCATCAGTGAGAAGTGATCAAGATTTGCTCACAATCGCTCCAAATCTATGATGTATTCCTAAATTGATTTATCATCTTGTATCATTGTTTCTATCTCATGTTGAATCTAGAACATCCTCATGAGATTCTCTGTCCCAATATAAATTCTCTTCAACATTGCCCAGACGTCCCTCACCTTTAGAATGTCATCTATTGAGTATACAATTGATGAAACCATTGAGTTAAATAGCCAGGTATAGATTAAGACGTGTGTGGTCCCTCACTTATCCCACTAAGCACGGACATTCTTTGGTTCGTCTCCGCTCAGATATCCCTCCAGTCTCTTCCCCGCTACAGCAGCCTCGACCCGACATGCCCAACTCACATATATGGCTAATCCATCAAGCTTCAGATTCACGAAAGGGAGATCTAATTTCACCTATGTTGAAACACGTGTTGAAGTAGTGCTCCAGTCGAGACGCTAGCTCCCTTTCTGAGCCCTATCAAAATCTTCAGAATATCAGGATCCATCTTCCCCAAAAATTTCAATCATTTATCTCCCGCACTATCTTCGTCTATTTACATCCTCAATCCCAAAGGATCAAAGTCTAGATCACACTCAACTTCCTACAAGTTCGTGCGATCCAGTTTTCCTTAACCAACACAAAGCCGCGACCCCTCTTGCACGCAAAACTGCACCAAGCCTACCTCCTTCTGCCGCGATTCAACGTCTCCTATATTGCGGCTAGAGCCCGTTGAGAAGGCAACGACAGGATTGCTGCATACAAGGACCACTGAAGCTTCTACTGCCTCCTCGTCATTTGAAATTGATGCCTCTAATTGCAACTATTGTGCTGCTCCCGCCTCCCGACGTTTGAAACCGAAGACTCTAATCATTGACTGTTTCGTGAGGATGAACTGAAAGGAAAAGAGAATGTGAGTTTCGGGTTTATGTACGCCGATTCGCGGTTGTTGTAGTGGGAATTTTAGGCCTCTCTAAGTTGATCTCGACTTGTGCGGTTGAGCAGCTGCTTCGCCAGAACGACGCCTCAAGTTTCTATGCCAATCCTGACTCTTGGGATCAAGGAGTAGCGGTGGCTAGGCTAAAGCTCTAATAGCATAACCAAAGAATTGTTCAAAATCCTTTTTGTACATTCATAGCATGACCTTAAAAAGGGTATTATAATGTTGTACAAATAAACCCCTAGACTTCTTCAATATTACCTTTACACCAATAGGACGTTAAATAAGGCTCAATTCTCATCAATAAGCCATAACCAAAATGTTTTAAGAAAAGAAGCTTTCCTTCAAGATAAGAATGGTTTGGTATACACATTAACATTCACATACAACTCGCATCAAATTCAAAATTCTGTATAAATGAATGTGCATATGTATGAATGATTATGCACTAAGGCCAAAAATTAAACAATTAACTCACCACCCTATTAGGAAGTCTCGCGCTCTCCCTGCTGCCATAGCATCTTCAGCAGAATTTGTCAGTGGTGAGAACCCGATGGTGTAGATGTTGATGCCAATCTGACCTTTTTGTATGGTCTGATTGCAAAGCAGTAATTGTAATGTTGACCTTTGAGATGAAGAGTATTACGGTAATTATTTTTATCAGTGATAGGGTCAACTATTAAAGATCATTTCAGCACTCATAAAAGGCTTATGGTACACATCATCAGCAAAACAATATGTTTTTTCCACTAAAGGGAGCCTTATGGTGGCTTCAAAGTTAAACTGGGGATTATAAATAAGAGCAGAAATACTAAAATTGAGAACAAAGAAGATTCTTTTTAAATGTTTGGAGAAAGTAATACGAAGAAAAGGAAAACAATAGAGTCTACTACAATTAAGAGCATTTTCTCTCTTTCAAGTCCAAGTAAAAAAATTAAAATAAAGAGAGCAGCGTCGTTACCAAATTATTAATAATATGCAAATATCGTATCTTGTTAAATGATGAAAAGCATATGGCGTGCACGTCCTAGAGCTCTCCACCTCTCCAAGCAAACACAACATGAAATAAAATACACATCTCTGATTTGTTAGCTTCCTAATCGAAGTCAGTATCAGGCATTGTAGGCCATTGATCTATAAAAATCTTTGATATTCTATGTAGAGGTAATAACTAATAACACAAAAAACAACAAGCCTTTTTCCACTAAGTGGGGACAACAATTTAACTGATGGATGTCATAACTTTTCAACAAAATGTTATGTTGTCGACTATCTAACGCAACCCTCTATTTTTGGCATGCTGACTTGGGACTCAACAATGACAGTTTTGAGGTAATAACTAGTAAGGAAAAATAAATGCATTTTTAAATCACAATCATTCATTAAGAGTTTGTTTGAGACAACTTTCTGTCTGCTTTGCATTTTAGACCACCACAAAAAGTTCTATTTGGAGAATTGTTTTTTAAAAATCTTTGTGATGAAAAACTGTTTTTTTTCAACCTGACGTGCTAAAGTGTGGTAGCTCTAAGAAAACTACTCTCTAATTTTTTTTAGAAAAAAATAGATATTTATAGTTTTCACTACTGTTTTTTAAGAAATTGCTTTCTTCAATGCAGCTTTATAATACCTTGTTTAAGTTTATTAGATATAGTGGTTCCACAAAATGTGAGATAGGGAAAGATGAAGCCAATTTCTAAATATAAAAGCATATGTAAGTTTATAATTTTGTAACAACCGATTAAAATAATAATAATAAATAAATAAATAAAATACAATATAAAAGATGTTTGGAGAAGTGTCGCTTGGGGGAAATCAAATGAAGACTTATCCTCTTGTTTTCATTTCAACTGAATAAGTAAGGTAGGAAGTGAGTCGAAACAGAGAGCGAAAAGAAGAAGCATTAGAATTAGAGGTAGGAAGAGGAAGATTTACCTATGAGGGACGAAGCCGAACGGAGGAGCGACTTCATCGAGAAGTTTGACATCGATGATACTATGAACCGAGGAGACGCCGTCGTGCTCTAACTTGAAAGAAGAAGAAACCGCAGGAGAAAGGTGGAAAAGAGGGGATAGAGCATAGCTGTGTGCGTGAAGAAGAAGAAGCCATCTTCATGCGAGAAAGGACCAAATCGAGCTTTAAAGGTACATTAGAGTTATGTTTTTAAGATATAAAACGTTTATTCTCTATTATATTAGGCAGTATCTCCTGAATTTCATAGCAGAGATAAATTTGGACAAGCAGTTAGATCAAAGGAATAAAATGAGAAGGTTTTGGCAGCGACAGATGCGGAGGTAATGTTATGTGATTATGTTTTAGTTATACAAATTATGTTAATTAAAAATATTAAATAAGGATTCCATGTTTAGTTACTTAAAAATAAATTGGAAAAAAAACTTTAGTACATTAACTTAATTATCAAAGAGAGTAATGAATACAAATACATGTAATAATAAAAATAACAATAGTGATAATTGAATAATGATTCAATAAAAATAACAATATGTTCTATAATTTATTGTGATTACTAAAGATTGATAATCTAATGTGATAACCGAATTGAGTAATTATATTTATAAATTTCAGTAATCTTCTTTATTTCAAAATGTATGATTGACTCAATGTATGCTCTAGCTTAGTTAGATCCTTCGTATTGTTAGACATGAAAGATATGCATAATATGTATGATAAGAATGATATGAAAGATAAAAGATACACACAATATGTATGATATGCACATATGCATGATTGGAAGGATATGCAAGATAAATAGTTACACCTCTGAGTAAGTATACATCTTAGGTAGATGAATGAAGATGTTTCAAAAAAATGCATGTTATAAAGAATAAAATAACTTATATATGAATGTTATAATATGTATGATATTAATGATATGCATGATAAAAATGATATGAAAGATGTGTATGATATAAAAGATATACATAATATGTATGATATGCACATATGCATGATTGGAAGGATATGCAAGATAAATAGTTACAAGATATGCAAGATAAATAGTTACAAACTCTGAGTAAGTATGCATGTTGGTAGATGAATGAAGATTTCTAGAAGAATGCATGTTATAAAGAATAAAATAGATTATATAAGAATATTCGTATGTGCATGTTAAGAAATGAGTCCATCCCCTAATGGTACAGGCAGAGAACGCCAGTGTACCAGTGTGAGTAGAGGTTTTTCTACTATCTCAGACAATTGCGAGTGTTAGATCACTTCAAAGGCGAGTTGACAAAGCTTACCAACCCAAACAATTATGATATTTAGATTGTTAACCTTTGTGCTGAAAGAACAATATCGGCCAGAAGCAGGTAAGGGCCTTTCCACCCTATATGATTATAATCCTTAGATCGCTAAATGTTGCGTCGATGGGATAATATCAATAAAGGGTGTGCTAGGTCTTGTTGATGGTAATCCTCAAACAGATGGATGTGTATGTAAAGAGTATAAAGTAAAAGTAAAGTTAAATTTAATGCATATAAAAGTTTGGAATATTTTCATTAAGTAAAGGTCATTAATACATGCATGAGTATATTTAAAGTTTTCTTATAGAGACATTAAAGACCGTCATGCATATTAATTTCCTTATTTCGGTCATTATAATTTAAAAGTGTGATTAAGTTATCTTCATATAACTCATTATATTTGTTTTTTTTAGGTTTTAAGCTTTTGAACAAAATGAATAAAAGAGAAAAAAATGTGTATTTAAAGCAAGAACAACAACCGAAAATGTACAAATTTCTACTTAATTAAATTGTTTTATTTAGTAGTTCTTTCATGAATATTTAAATATTAAACTTTTAATGATAGAAATAGAATAAAAAAACTGATTTCCACCTTTCGACTGTTCGTTCGCGTCTTTGCTAATTCCAAGCCCCAGGCCGAGTCGTGACAAAAATGATAATAGAGTAAGGAGTTCAAAATTAACAAAATGAATCTTAATGAAAGAGCTGTTAGGATGATTAAATTAAGTTATAAATAATTGAAATTAAAATTTTAACACTCTAATTAAATTATTTTATTTATTATTTCATAATTATGGATGATCAGGATGAAGAGGTTAGGGATGAAAGTGTAGAATTTGATATACCTCGGAATGTTACAAACAATACTGATGTTTTTGCTGAGATGATGACTGTGATGACTCATATGATTAGGAGCTCTCAGCCTCAAGCCAGTGGTAGTGGGGAGCACTGATGGCTAAGTACTTGAAGCACTTTCAGGATATAAGGCCGCCTCTCTTTTCTGGAGGAAGTCCAGTGTATGCTGAAAACTGGCTATTGAGAGTGGAGAAGATTATTGATGAGCTTTCATGTCCACTGGAGAGGAGAGTTACCTTTGCCACATTTTTATAAAGAGGAAGCTAAGTGATGGTGGCAAGGTTAGCTGCAAGAAAAATTTGATGGTCTATCTAACCCCTTGGTACAGTGGGACGAGTTCGTGGGAAACTTCAGAGATTGGTTTGTACCACTAGCCAAGAGACAAATGCAAAATAAATCCATTAATTTGGTTCTGGGAGATTAATTAGTTATGAAGTACGAAGCAGAGTTTACTATGTTTTCAAGATATGCACTACAACTTGTTTCAAATGCTAAGGAGAAATTTCACAGGTTCTTTTCTTGATTAAAGGATTCAATCAGAGAGCCACTAGTGCCACTTGGGATTTAAGACTATTCTATGCTAGTGGAGAAGGTCAAAAGAATAAAAATTGATTTCCAGCTGACTCAAAACCTTAAGAACATACACAAGAGAAAGCTCTTGGAAGAAGTGGCGCCAACAGTTCAATCTGGAGAGTCTAATGGGGAAAAGATAAAGTCCTACACTGATGGAGTTATTAGTTAGGATGGCAGCACAATAGAGAGTTGTGTTAAGTGTGGGAAACAACATGACAGTGAATGTAAATTTGATTTGAAGTCTTGTTACTTATTCAGGCAGCCTGAACAATAGATAAAAAGCTGCCTTAATCATGTTCAGAGATCACCATTAGATACTAACTTAGGAGAGGATTTAACTCAGAAGAATTCATAGGAGGGATCTACTTTTTGAAATGGTTAGTAGAGGATTGCAGAAGCTGATACTGTGACTTATAAAGGGTAACCAAGGCAGAACATTCAACCAACTCATCAAAAATTTGAAGAGCCCGCTGTCACTAATGTTGATGCATAGAATTTGATCGAGTTATTTATCACTTGGGTGTTATCTTTCATGTTAGTTGTCTGGTAGTAAGTATCTTTATATATTTTTGATTTCAGAAGTTGGGTGTTATTTTAATTATGTTATCATGTTTCCGATGTTTGAGGATTGTTTAGTTGGATTGTATTATCTTAGATGAAAGATTTTTCACATATATTTTAGTTATCATTTAATAAGAATAAAACTTTTATGATAATTTGTGAAGAGTTCATGTTTCATCTGTATAATGATTAGTTTATATCAATTTCTTAAATTTCGAGAATGAAATTTTTATGAGGAAGAATTGTAACAAACGGTTAAAAAAAATAAAACAAATAAATAAATATAATACAATACAAGCGTCGTTTGGATAAGCGTCGTTTTCATTTCAACCGAATAAGTAGAGAGTGACTCGAAACAAAGAGCGAGAGAAGAAGATGCACAAGTTATTATAAGAAGGAAGAGGATGTTTTATTTGTGAGGGACGAAGCTGAAAGAAGGAGCGGCTTCTTCGAGGAGTTTGGCATCCGACACCACTATCGAACCAAGGAGAAGCCATCATGCCTTTATTTGAAAGAAAACCCGAAAGAGAAAATTAGAGAAGTGGAGATAGAGCATAGCAGCATGTGTGCGGGAGAAGAACCCATTGACATGCAAGAAAGGATGAAACTAAGTATTAAGGTATATTAAAGATATGTTGTTAAGATATAAAATTTTTATTCTCTATTAGATTAGGTTATATCTTATGAATTTCCTAGCAGAGATTAAATTTGGTCAAGCAGTTGGATGAAAGGATTAAAATGAGAATGTTTTGGCAGTGACACGTGTGGAGGTAAGGTTTTGTGATTATATTTTTAATTATGTAAATTATTTTAATTAAAAATATTAAATAATGATTCCATGTTTAGTCACTTATAAATGAAATGAAAACAAAACATTAGTACATTTACTTAATCATTAAAGAGAGTAATGAATACAAATACATATAATAATAAAATTAATAAAAAAAATAATAATGATAATTGAAGTATGATTCAATTAACAAAAACTTTCTTGAATCTTTAATGAATATTGATAATCTAACATGGCAACCGAGGTAGATAATTATATTTATAAATTTCAAAAATCTTCTTTATGTCAAAATGTATGATTTACTCTATGTATGTACTAATTTAGTCAGATTCTTCATATTATTAGACAAGAAAGATATGCATAATATGTATGATATTAAAGATATGCATGATGAGAATGATAGAAAAGATGTGTATGATATGAAAGATACACATAATATGTATGTATGCACGTATGTATGATTGAAAGGATATGCATGATAAATAGTTACATCTCAGAGTAAGTATTCATGTTAATAAATGAATGAAAATGTTTAAGAAGAACACATGTTATAAAGAAAGAAATAGCTTACATATAAATGCTTATATATGGAACTAATGGTACAATCAGGGGACACCAATGTACCCGCACACGTAGAAGTTTTTCTACTATTCCAGATAATTTTGATTGTTAGATCACTAATCGCTGTGCCGACAAGATAGCATCGTTAGGGGTGAGTAGACAGAGGTTACAACCCTAGACAATTGCAATGTTTAGATTGCTAACCGTTATGTCGAAGGGATAATATCGATCAAGGGCAGTTAAGTGCTTTTCCACCCCAATTAATTGTGATATTTAGAACACTAAAAATTGTGGTGACAAGATATTAATCAAGGGTATGGTAGGTTTTCTTGATAGTGATTCTCAGGCAAATAAATGTGTATGTAAAAAGTATAAAGTAGACGTAAAGTCAAAATTAATGCATATAGAAGTTTAGAGTATTTTCATTGAGTTTCACTGAATAAATGTCATTGATGCATGTTTTAGTATATTTAAAAATTTCTTATAGAGGTATTAAAGATCAACATGCATATTATTTTTTTTCCTTGGTTTTATGTAGTTTAGAAATTCCTTACTCCTGGGTTATCTTTAGATAACTCATTATGTTTAATTTTTTTTTAGGTTTTAAGTTTTTGAACAAGATGAGTAGAAGATGAACAAATGTGTATAGGAGATGACAACAACAATCAGAAAGATAAAAATTTCTAATTGTTAATTAAATTACTTCCTTCAGTGACTCTTTCAAAAATATTTGAATATTAAACTGCTAGTGAAAGAAATATAATAACAAGGAATTGATTTTTACTGTCGGATCGATTGTTCCCGTATTGATTAATTCCAAGTCCCAAGTTGGGACATGATAAAATTTCTTATAATCGATAAATATTATTCATTTGAGAAAAAAATTGATATGCTCAAGTTTGACAAAAAGATATGTATTGACTTTTACTTTAATTTATTAATTGGAATAATGAAGTGCCCCGCTCCAAAATGTTCGTAGTCTAATGATAGTTTTTCTCTTTCACCGACACTTTTGGCCCAATAAAACTAGGCGCCAATGAAAAAGATGAACCGGCAATGAAAATGCATTGATTTTGAAAAGAAGTAAAACATGCAATTTGTAATTTACTTCTCAAATGAATTTGACATTATAATATTTTCAGGAGAGCATATAATAAATGTTAATTTTTGTAAAAAAAATTCTAAATTTGCTGGTGAGCTTCATAAGTGACATGAAATATTTACCTACCTGATATTTGTTCCTGTACAACTCAACTGCTGCAGAATGAGCCAATAAATAATTATGGGCAGTGATATATGGCTCCACTGTGGAATTGCCTTTTGTACAATTAACACTGTCTCCCATAAAAGTAATACCATAAGGATTTGAACATCGGCAAGGAGGGAAAAAACCATAATCGTAGGAGCCAAAGGAGTTGATGTTGGGCTGATTAATTGTGGTCCAATGAGTAACTCTGTCGCCAAATTCTTTAAAGCACACATCAGCTAGTTCTTTAAAATCATCACTGTGAACCATCTTCAGTTTAGTTAGACATACAGGCAGGCCTCAGTGTTTTCATTAAACTATTATGCACAAATTCTAGATACTTACATGATTTTCGGGCTTAGCCATCCTCCATACTCATCCTGAAGTACTTGCGGAACATCCAAATGATGCAGGGTCACATGAGGCTGAATACCTGTATGATTTCAAAAGAAAAAAATTAGAAATTAGAACTATAAATTACAACAAGAATATTAAAGCACTAAGTGGTGATTTGTGACTAGTTAATTAATCATGACACTTATTCTAATTACCAATGCATATCCCAATTTGGATTAGAAATTGATTGCTTCAAATTTGGAGAAAGTAACAAACTTTTGAGTACTTTTTTTGAAGTAGCTAAAAAAAACGACAAGTTATGACAGTCCAATTCATTAGTTTTCCATCCTGGTTAGTAAGATAATTTCAACTTCTAATATATCAGCATACCAAATTTGATTATTTCGTTGATGACGTTGTTGTAATACTCCAAGCCTTTAGGATTCACTGGTCCTCTCCCATCTGCAGAATAACATCAAATACAGATACATTTGAACAAATAATAGTGGGTTGTTTAACTAATCGCCCAAAGAAACATGCATATCAGACTAGTCATTATGAGAAAGCTAGCTCTTCAGTTCACCTTATCATTCAGATCGATCAAGCTATTATTTTCTTTCCATATTAGTCATGTTAAACGATAGGCGTACTTAGCCGAATTTCAAACTTTAGTTTTCACCTATATTCTATATCAGAAAATTATACAAGCTGTAATACTGTTTAAGGCTATGAAATATGCAAATAAATCTGAACTTGTGCAATTTCTGAAAATCTTGACTGGAAATTAATGATTGATCATCATTAGATAGCGCCAAACAACCTTATACTTCTGCAAGCATACAAAGGATCAAACTGATGGCACTTATGATAACTTAATAGAAGCAATAAATTTTTAAAGGGAAGAGAACAAGTAACTCAAAATGGTCTTCTTTTATATTTTCACACAATAATGAAAAAAATTTGCTAATACATAGATAAAAATTTAGAAATAAATATACGTTTTCCTATCCATTATTAACTGACTGAATGGCAGGTTTAACCGGTCAAGCGTACCAAAAACTTTAGAAGTCAATTTCAGTTGTACCAATGCTAGTATACCGTTTCAAAGAAATTAGGTGGCCTTGGTTTTACAACATGTGCCTCTGAGAACTCGATCAATAAATAACTTATTTTAGGTAGATTGAAGGTAAATATGGGCATTATGAACAGTTATAAAAACCATAAAAAGAAATGCCAAGATATATTGATAGGTAACATACTTGGGAGGAGCCTTGGCCAGGAGATAGAAAATCTATAAGCTTCGAGCCCAGTATCACTCATGAGCTTGATGTCTCCCTACAGGATTCTAACAGGTCAAAATGCAAGAAAACATGAAAAATTAAATATCAAGCAAATTAAACATACAGGAAGGTATACTCTTGTTACTATTGCTCATGGTAGCTCAAATACCCAACCTTTACTTGTTACTATTGCTAATGGTTTTCAAGGAAACAAGTTGCTAAAAACAAAACATTTTCTAAAAGCAGTATCGTTTGTGATTAGTGGATTATCCTATGAAGATGCATGGTGGGGCTGTTGGAGGCAATTTATTTGACAGAAGAGGTCTTTGCCATGAGAAACAAATGCATCCAAATGTGCGTAGAAGAGTATATGTTGGAGTGGAGTGATGGAGAAGTTCATATGGTGGTTTGGAGGATTGGCATGCAATTTATAGAGTATGAAGCTGAGGTGAAAGCATCAGCCTAGAATTGGGTAAGAAGTTGGGCTGTCAGAAGTAGAGTTCTGGTGGTTCCATGAGATGTTTATGTTTGTGTTCGGCGACCCCATTTTGCTGAGATGTATAGGGGCTACTGAATTAGTGTTGTATGCCATTTGAGAATGTCATGCTTTTGAGTAATAGGCTGAATGTTTTTTTCCTTTGCTTTCATTCTACTAAATAATAGTTTGTACAATCTATTTTAGGTAACTAAATAATACATATTCCTAATCTAAATATTCAGCCAAAAGGAAAGAATATGTACATTTAAAATAAAGAATTTTAAGTAGCAATTCAAAAAAAGCAAAATCTTAGTTCTGCCCGATTTCAATTATTCTTGATTTATATCCCCCATCAAATTGTTGTTGACTGATTAAGAAGCAGCAATTTGTCAACAAAGAACAGATGACGCTTCCGAGAAATGACCTTAGTAAATATACCAGTCATTTGAAAATCAGAAGTGATATGATGAAGAGAAATGACACCATTATCATAGGCTTCTTAAATAGAATGACAGTCAACTTCAATGTTTTGTGCGCTCATGAAAGGCAGGATTAGTAGTAATCTGGATAACATTAGAATTATCTGCATAAAGAGCAATAGACTTAAGTTGAGGAAAACCAAGCTCGACCAACAAACCCCGAAGCCAAATGATCTCAGAACTAGCAGAGAACATAACACGATATTCAAACTCAGTAGATGACTTAGACGCTCGATCTTGTTTTTTACTCTTCTAAGAAATTAAGGAGTTGTCGAGAAACATACACCAACCAGTAATAGATCGATGTGTAACAGAACAACCAACTCAATCAACACCACTATAGGCTTTTAAGCAAATAGGAAACTCCACAAAAAAGAACAAGACACGATGGAAAGTACTTTTCAAATACCTAACAACACATCGAACTGCAGCTAAATGAAGATGTGCAGATGTCTGCATAAATTGACTAACTTATTGCACATCAAATGAAATATCAAGACGTGTGATGGTGAGATAATTAAGACTCGCAACAAGTTGTCGATACAAAAATGGATCAGGTAGAAAGTCACCATCAGCTCGTTGATATTTAACGATCACTCCCAAAGGAGTATCAACAGGACGGCCCTCTTGGAGCCCAGCCAAAACAATGGGTTCCATATTATAGTTATGCTGGTGAAGAAACATATCAACGGGAGAAGAGTGGACCTTAAGACCTAAGAAATAAGTTAAAGACCCCAAATCTTTCATCTGAAAAAAAAACACTGAAGACACTTCTGTAACTGAGACATCAATTGAGTAATAGATCCCGTAATGACAATATCATCAACATAGACTAATAAGAACATAATTCTCATGTCAGTCTTGCAAAGAAATAATGAAGAATAATATTGACTTTGAATAAAAGAGAAGCTAAGAATAGTATTGTAAAAATTTTCAAACCAGACCCATGGAGCCTGTTCCAATCCTTATAAAGATAGTTTGAGCTTACAAACATCATGTGAGGGTGTAGAAAACAGGCCTGGAGGAGGAGACATATAGATATCTTCCTTGAGGTTCTATGCAAAAATGTATTCTTAACATCCATCTATCGCGAGGACCAACTTTTAGATGCAGCAATGGATAGAACAAGCCAGACAGTTGTCATCTTAGCCATAGGTGCAAAGGTCTCTTCATAATCAATGTCATATTCATGTTAATTGCCAAGAGCTACCAATCTTGTTTTATATCTGCCAAGGGAGCTGTCAGATCGGAGCTTAAGAGAATAAACCCATTTACAACCAATGAGTTTAACACCTGCAGAACATGAAACAATATTTCAAGTGTGATTGTCTTGAAGTGTCTGAAGTTCCTCTTGCATGACTTTAATCCAACAAGTCTGTTTAGCAGTCTAAGAATAAGATGTAGGAACTGTAGTATTACTTAAAATTGCAGAATAACCATATCTATTCAGAGGACAAATGTGTCGAGTTGATCGTCGAAGAATCATTGGAGTATTTTCAGGAGTGGGGTTGGGAAGGATTAGAGATGAAAGGGTCAAGCGTCGTGTGTAGACAAGTGAATATTTTATTAAAAGAAGAATCAACAAAGTGAGAAAGTATAACAATGTCAGATGTCGAAAGATGAAGCTAAAAATAGTATTCATATTCGAAAAAAAACACAACGCGAGCGATACATAATCGATTATTAATTGAATATAACACACAAAACATTTATGAATAGAACTATAACCCATAAAGACACATCGAACAGACTGAGCTGCCAACTTATGACGTTCATGAACAGGTAAATGAACAAAACAAGTACATCTGAAAGTATATAGTATATGATAGTTAAGATATTTATCAAAAATTCGATAGTAGGGACAATCAAACTTCAATTATTGAGATGGTAAACAATTAATCAGATAAATTGCAGTAGATAAAGATTCTGTCCAAAACTTAGCTGAAACAGAAGATTATAGGAACAATGTGTGCATCATATCCAACAGATAACGATTTTTTCATTCAACAACTTCATTCTGCTGAGGTGTATAAGGACATGAACATCGTGAGATAATATCATTGTTATGAAGAAATGCTTGAAACTCATGAGACATGTATTCACGACATGTATTGTATTCACCACCATTTTCAGATCATAAGGTTTTAATACAAGTAGAGAACCAAGTTTCAATAGATGTCACAAAGGTTTGAAACATGACAAACACTTCTGTTTTGGAATGCAAAAAATAGATTCACGTGAATCGTCTGTAATCGTCAATAAATATCACAGAATATTTATACAGAGCATGTGAAATAACCAGTGTCATTCCCCAAACATCAATATGAACAATATCAAAGCATTTGTTGACACGACTATCCAAAATAGGAAAAGAAAATGTCTTACTTTTGCCCAATTTACTAGAATAACAATCAGCTAATAAACTTTTATCTGTAGAACCACGAACACTTTGCAACAAATGATTCAAAACAACATTATTTGGATGACCTAATCGTCTATGCCAGACGCCAACCTTATTTTCAACAACTGAAGAAGCTTATGACAATATCCAAGAATTGGTAAATTGTAATGGAAATAACCTATCTACTTTAGGTCTCTTCGCTATCACCTTCCGCGACACCTGATCCTGTACAGCACAACCATCAAGAGAAAAATATACATCACAATTTTTATCCACCATTTGACCAACAGAAAGTAAATCGTAAATAATTTAGGAGAAACCATGACATGTCAGAAGGAGGGGCTAACATCACCAACTGTCGTAATTGAAATATTATTTTCATCAGCAACCTGATTATGTTGAGTACCAGTATACGGGCGTTGATTTTGTAATAAAACATATGTGCTACTCATATGATTTGTGGCGCCAGAATCAACAAACTAAGAAGAAGAAACATAAATAATAGTCTTACTTTTCCCTTGAAACTAAGAGCAAAAAAGACAGAGACAATCATCTGTTGAACCATATTTGGTGTGAGAACAGATTAATTATTGTCGGCAACTGTGAATGTTGAACTAGGATTGTGAGAGTCAGATATATGAAGAGTTTGTGGTTTGCGATTTTGAGGTCGTGTAGGGCACTCCGTAAGAGTATGTCCCTTTTGCTTGCAATAATTACTTGAAATAATTACATAACTTCTTATTACATTGACGAGCAATATGACCATATTGTTTGCAGCTCTAACACTGCTTTATAACATTTCTTTGGGTCTGAGCAACATATGCAACATTAACTATTTCTGATGATCTACCAGCTACATTGATAGTGGCTTGTGTCACCAATATTTATTCTTCACATTCACAAAATCATACATCCAAACAAGGTATTGGATCTCTGTTCAGTAATTCAGCTCTAGCAGTTTCAGATTCAGGTCTAACCTTCATCAAAGACTGATCACGATGACTCTCTTCATGAATAGTCTGAAGAACTAAATTCTCCTTTGACACCTTAACATAGATATTATCAAAATATTTGCTCCATAAATCAAGAAAGCCAAAATAATATTGTTCAATTGAGAGATTGTCTTGACTATAATTACTCGTATCAAGTTCCAATTAAATGCGTCTTGCAGTATTAGTTTGATTGTATACGCGCTTCAAATATTCTCACATTCATAAGTTGTCCACTATATGAGCCTCAATAAATCCCAAAATCCAAGAAACAATCTGAGCATCTTTTGCCTCTCATTGATCAAGCGGCTCTGTAGGTGCTAGAGAAGACCCATAAATATGCCTCAAAGCTCATTCCCTTTCAAACAAAATCGTGAACTGAAATTCCCATGCTGCATAATTTTTTCCCGTAAATCTGATAGCTAAGATTTCATGTATTTTCTTAGACGACATTCTAACAAAATTGTCACTCATAAGTTAATTATCCAGAAAATTGTGGATCGAAATTGATCAACCTAAAACCAAATAAAACTAATAACCAGCAATTCCAAAAAAAGAAAATTACATATTCAACAACAGGAGATTTGTCAATCTCCTGCTGCTTATCCTCAATAATTTGACTGTTTGTTCCTGATTCTCGAAGGCGAAGCCACTGGGTAAAATTGGGGTGGGTGATGGAAAAGCCACTGGTAGGGCTTCCTCGTGAATGATCAGACTATTGGAGAGAAATCCTCGCGACTTAGACAATCAGAGGAGGAAGAAAATTGTCACAGCTTAGACAGTCCAGATGCAAGAAATCTCGAGAGTGCGACTCTCAGACCAAAGAAGTGGTCGAAGCTGACGGAAAAAAAGAATCGAGTCGATGCCTTCAAAACCATACTGTCGACATCAGTTGTAGAGAAAGCTCCGGCCAAGAAGAGCCTGAAGCCTAACTTTAGGCCGAAAAAAAAAACCCGAACGATAAGGTGTAAACCAATGCCAAAGAAAAAACGCGCCGACTATCCTTTTGTGTCGAAGCTGAAGCCAAAGCCATCTAAACCCGACGATCCCTAAGTGCCGACAATCTAGGGAGGATCTCGATGTTGAAATACGATCTACTGTTTGCTCCACAGCTCTTATGCAATGTCAGACTTTTGAGTAACTAGGTTGAATGTTTTTTTCATTTGCTTTCATTCTAATAAATAAAACTTTGTACAATCTATTTAGGTAACTTAATAATACATATTTCTAATCTAAATATTCAACTAAAATGAAAGAATATGTACAATTAAAATAAGAAATTTAATGCAACAACTTAAGAAGAAAACTCTTAGTTCTGCCTGATTTTAGTTATTCTTGATTGATAAAGAATAGGTATTTATGTAGGTTGGTAGATATGTATCCTTCTCGTCCATTAGGACCAAAAGTTTTGATGTTTGTATAGAAGTCATTTTTAACTAAGTTAAGGAATGTAATGATTTTATTGGTTGTTTTCAGATTTAGCAAGCATTGGGAATGTCCAACAATAGCAAGTCTAATCATCCATCAAAGAGATTGTATTTATAACTATGGATAAATTAGTTGGGACAAGCCCCCATACAGAGTGAATAAGATCAAAAGGCACCAAATTTGTTCATTATCTTAAGGTGTGGGGAGAATATCCTGTCCATTATATGCGAATGGACGAGTTGCGCCATCCCCAGCGAGTATGTTATCATGGAAATGGTAGGGAGTTGCATGTCACAGATTGTCTAAATATGTTGTGAGATGATTGGTGGCGCCACAATCCTATATCAAATCATCCGATTTTGGGATAGTTTAAGTGAAGAGAGCTGTTTTAGATTTTTCAACAGGATAGGAGTTGAAATTGATCATGTGCCAACAGACTAAAGCTATGTGACATATTTTAGCAGAGTTGGAATGGGATGGTGGATGTGTTGGTGTTTGAGGACCTTCCTCCCCTGTCTGGGATAGGTTGAGTTGTTCCTCTGCTTGAACCTATGCTGTTTCTACCTCAACCCCGTGAGGCGACCACCACTTGAGATGGACTTGAAAGCCAAGGCTGCATTGTTGGATTCCTTGATGCTTTCTGCTGTTATATTGGTTCTTCAATACATAGTTGTAAGTAGAGATCATCAAAGGTGATCGGTACTGCTCTAGTACTGATTTCAATTTTGAAGTAATATTAGGTTTTAACACTGAATTTTGAATAATTAGGCCAAAATTTTGACATTTCTAGGAATTCAACCAAATTAATTTTATAAAATTATATACATCGAATCAATAAATTTGATATATAACACTATATATGAATTATGAATATAATGAGAGATATTAAAACAATAAGATGTTTATTTAATTAAATTAATTAAACCCTTAATTAATCCTTAATATTTGGATCAATGTTGTCAGTCGACTTTTGTTCCATCACAACTAGGCTCAGAGCTTGAAATTAACCAAGACGAGTACAGACGGTCGGATGGTGGAAAAATTAATTTTTTTATATTCATTTTCTATAACTAACATATGAAAGAGTAATTATATATAAGAAAATTAAATTAAAAAAGTTATAAATTCACCTCAGGCCAGGTTGTCTGTATTTACTATAAACATTTTCACCTGTGTCGCTTATCTTTTAATCAATTAATTAAACCTGAAATCTTAATTTAAAATTACAGTGAGACAATGAAAATGAATAATATGCATGCCGGTTTAGCCTTAAATAAATCAATATAAAATATTAGATATATTATGAATATGGTCAATTAAGATATTTCATACTATACAGTATTTTACTATATCAATAACATCCTTATGTCATTTCATGTCTATATCAATAACATCCTCAACAATCTAGTATTACATATAAAGGGTCACGACGAAGAATATGCCTTTCCCCTATAAATCTGCTCTCAGTAAAAATATATGTTGCGTTTTTTAAAATGCTGCCTATAGAAATAAAAATAGACGCTCTTGCAATAAATGTGAGGTGATAGTACTCATTTGGGATTGAAAAGACATCATTATTCAGGAAAGTGCTTATATTATTTGTATTTCGCTTGAGGATAATAGGTGATCAGATTTTTTTCTCCTCGATATGCAGCTATTTCTGAAATCTCAAATAGAGTAATATATCATAACTGATAACTGTTTGGTAGTGTTGTGTGACGTTGTGCTACTATTTTGATGAAAAAAACTAACTGCGACTCTCAGATACACTAATGTGCTGCCCACAATAATACGCTTTCCATTGCACGTTGCTACACACATTAAAACGTGCAAAGCTTTAGATTAGTGAAAGAGAAGAAGCTGAAATTAAATTCGTCGATCGGGCCTTAAGAGCCATGCAATCAAAGGTAGAACAGGATTTAAAAATCTTGCAAGAATTCATCATAAAGAGAAAATACGATTGGATTCAGATCTTGTAAGGCATCGTTTCAAAGTAGAGCTTACTTGTGGCTTTCATGTTAGATGCATCTAAATTTTTAAGAGCACATGTAATCCACTAAGCATAATATGAAGGGATTCTATTCTATGTTTTTCGTGGCATCCTTGAATACAGAGATACATCAATAAATTCTATTTACTTGGCAAACTCATAATATAAAAGATCTCTGTTCCATAAATTCTGTTGCATCAGAAGAAATATAAGTTTACTAGCAAGTGGATGCGTGCCTTATATTTGTGATATCCATCAGAAGCCACATCCGGGGTGTTGCGACCAGCCCACCCTGAGAAATATATTTGTTGTATACATAAATCCCTCTTGAAAAAGGAAAAAAATTGGAGAGTGTAAGAGATTAATGATAATAGATCTAGATATCTTAATGAAATTTTTATCAGGATGGGCACAAACACTTTGGATTTGCTTTAAGATGATTGAATATAAATTGTTACTGATTTCTCATGCATAGTGCTAAACGTAAAGCAAATCAAATGGATATAAAGCCTATCCTGATCAAAATTTGGTAAGAATATCCTCACCGAATTTTTTTCAAAAGAGATTACCCTCATGTGTAAAAGTATCCCAAATGCTTGGAGACTTTCCATCTTCTGCCCATGCACCTTCATACTACAAAAATATGGAATACATTACAGCAAAATCAACTAATTAAAACTATATAAATGAAAACCCTAATATTCATGAGAAATTGTACCATATAGATGGTTCTTCCCATAACCTAACTCGAGACATTACTGGGTGGACTTTGAGTAAGACTCCCATGCACAACCATATAATGGGCACACTTGAAAATATAGAGATGCTTTTAGGCCCTTTTTATTGTTTTTTTTTCATTATGAAGTGTTTGTCAAAAATGTTACCCCTTAAAATACTTCATTTAAGGGACGCTTTCATTTTAATGTGTTAGGCAATAAATTAAATTACTATTTAATCAATTCGATTTTAGCCTTTTTATCATTTCTCAAATATAACACATTTATTTCTAAACATATATGTTAATTTATTTAATCATTGAGTGATTATGATATCCTTGGTTAATAAAACATGTTCATATGATTATAAGTTCATCAGTATATAACTAATCCACCTCAATCATTCAGTAAAGGTTAATAATTATAAATGCATCTATACTAAATAGTTAGTGGTTTGAAAATAACTTCATAACTGCTTTAATTGCTTTTAGGAGACAGTAGCTACAATTGGCAGGGTTCTTCCAATTTTAATGGTTGGCAGGTTTCTAAGAGTTCTGTTAATTGCTTTTGCTGTTTTTTTTATTGTATTTCCTTTGTATGTGGTTTTGTATAGTTGTTTGTGTTCTAGTGAGGAAAATTGAGAAAAATGTCCTTGCCACAAAGAAGTAAGACCATGGGAGGTTGCTCCATGGTAAAAGTGAGTTATAAAGATTTTTTCACCAGAGGAGTAACACTTTTTGATTTACTGTAAGTTATACAAAAATTCTAGGTGTGGTGGACACCAAGGTGAGTTACATGCTCTATTTACAAATTTTTACATTATGTACTTGGCAATAAAATTTTCATGCATGTGTTTCTCATGGTAAAAAATTATCACAAAAATTGTATTTAAAAATTTAGATAACACATTTTGTACTTGTTAAAAGTGTGATTGTTCCCGAGTTATCTTTAGATAACTCATTATGTTTTTTTAATAATTTATTTTAAGTTTAAGTTTTTAAATAAGATGAATACTTGAGAAACTAACGTGTACAGGAGGAGAGAACAACAATAAGAAAGGTAAATTTTATTTGTTAATTAAAATAGCTTCTTTAGTGACTATTTTAATTAATTTTTTTATATATTAAAATGTTCGTGATAGAATTTTAAATATAAAAAATTAGTTTCACCATCTGACCATTTGTTCCCGTCTTGATTAATTCCAAGTCCTAGGTTGGGTTGTGATATTTGAGATCCGTCACTTCCAACATCTCTCTTTGAAAGCAAGTAACAAAGGTACTCAGGGGCTCTACCGATTCCTATCGAATTATGGCAATGCCTACGAGTTCATCTAGGGTATTTGTGTGTTGGCAAACTGCTTGACGAATATTTATTTGAACTTGATAAATGAAATGATTATTCTCAGTGATAAACTGTTACACCACCAGAGTGTAGACTTTTTAAGTGTCATGAAGAATAAATGACACTTCAAGATATTGCTTGTCCTAAGTAAACAAATGGCTGACTCGAATGGGGTGGCGTGATCCATGTGATTAGATCTACCCTGGTAAGACTCCAGTGACAAAATTTTATCTCTCTAGATCTTTAGTCTTAGTGGTTTCTTTGCAAAAGGCATTCTATAAGTCACGTCTTCCTCCATGGGTCTCAATCTACCTTATGTCTCTCCCAAAGTCAATAGAAGAAGAGTCTACAGTATCATTCTTCATTGGGTTGGATGACAAAATTCTCCACACAATAGTTGGTACACTTCTTTGTAATTATGCCGATTTTGAAGATGAAGAGGGAACTTGCACAATTGGTATTACTCTCAGTACATGTATCAGTGTTTCTCTTGCTACTCAACTCAGAGAATAGCTTAGTTACTCCTTGCTACTCAACTCTGAGAGTGAATTATCCTGTCTGATCCCACAGCCAAATAACTCAATCAAGTCAGTCAGATTGACCTATTACACAAGCCCAACAGATTAGCTGACTTTGTGCCTCGATGTATTTGAAGCATTTTCGTTCATACAAAATCATATTAATAAAAATATTAAATCTCATAATAAGAGAATTTTGAATTTAAAAAGAAATCTATCTTCATATCACCTAATAATGGAGAGGCTTAAGGCATGTAAAGCTTTAGGTTCATTCCCACATTGAAATGTTAAAATCTATGTAAGTGTAGAAGTACAATGTAGTTTGCTCTAAAAAAAATGTAGTTTGCTCGGACCATAAACTAACATTGTCATTGTCAGTCCTAAGCTCGGATGTGAAAAGTGGATGATTGTGTTAGATAGTCGACATCCAGCATAAAATTTATTGAAAAAATCATGACATAAAATTTTTTTATCATTGTGTAAGTGTTAGGGCGTCCCCTGGAAGCGACACACTGTATGACCTGAATACAGTGAAAAGTGTGCAGGGATTGCTACACCGGCGCCAGAATGTAGTGTCAAATAAATAAGGGTTCTCATATTACGAACGGATACAGTTAAAAAAGTTAGTCTGTTAAACTAATGAAACTAATGTTATGATAGGATTTTGGAATATAAACACTCTCAATGATAAATTAATAGAATTAGTTGATATTATGAATTATAGAAAGATTAATATCTTATGTATTAAATAAACTAAATGGGTTGAAGAAAATGCTAAGGAGATTGATAACTTAGGTTTTAAACTTTGATATTCTGGTAAGAGTCGCACTAAAAATGGTGTAGGTGTTATTATAGATAAGAGTTTGAAAGCTAATGTTGTAAAAATTAATAGAGTTGGAGATAGAATTATAGCCCTTAAGATTATCAATGATACTAAGATTTTTAATATTATAAGTGTTTATGCTCCTCAAGCAGGTTTAGATATATGGATATTCATGAAGAAACAAATGCTATGTGGGATAAAGTAATAAATATTATTAAACAAGAAGCAAAAGATGTACATGGAGAATCAAACGGAAAAATTTTTATAAATAAAAATAGTTGGTGGTAGAATAATAATGTGCAAGAAAAGATAAAATATAAAAAACTATTTTATAAAAATTGATTTAAAAGTAAAAGCTTAGAGAATTGAGAAAAATATCAAACGGTCTGCACACAGTCTAAAAGAACAATCTATGACGCTAAAAATTTTGTTTTTAGGAATCTTTATAATAAATTAAATACTAAGAAAGTTGAAAAATATATGTATAAACTAGCCAAACAAAGAAATAAGAAAGTAAAAATTTAACTCAAGTAAAGTGTATTAAAAATGAAAATAAAAAAAAATTATTTTTTAGAAAAAAATATTCGACATAGGAGGGTGAGTTATTTTGATAAATTTTTTAATGAAGTTTCTGAAAATACAATCAACCATAGTGATCTTAATATTGCTAATAATTGCTAATAATAATAAAATATTTTTAATAATAAAATATTTTATTTTTACCGTTGCATTAGTAAAAAAGAAATTGAGAAGGCCTTAAAGAAAATCAAAGGTGGAAAGTTAGTAGGACCTGATGTATCCTAATTGAAGTGTGAAAATATTTGGGAGATTTGGGGGTTTCTTGGCTTACTAAACTCGTTAATATTATTTTAAAAACTAAAAAGATGTCTGAGGAGTGGAGGAAGAGTATTTTAATCCCATTTTTAAGAATAAAGGGGATGCACAAGAGTGTCAATTATAGAGGTATTAAATTGATGTGTCATACTTTAAGATTATAGGAGAGAGCTATCGAACATATGTTAAATCGTATTACAAGGTTTTATCATAATCAATTTGGATTTATGTCGGACAGGTCTACTATGGAAGCTATACATTTATTGAGAGGTTTGATGGAGAAGTTTAGAGATAATAAGGAGGATCTACATTTGATTTTTATTGATTTAGAAAAAGCTTACGATAAGGTTCCAAGAGATATCCTTTTGGAGAGTTCTTGAGAAGAAAGGTGTTGATATGACTTATATTCAAGTTATTAAAGATATGTGTGTTAGAGTTGTTACTTGTGTTCGAACTGAAGGAGAATTGACCAAATATTTTCCTATTTCTGTTGGATTATATCAGGGATCGACTTTAAGCTCATATCTTTTTGTTTTAGTTATGTACGATCTTACTGGACATTTATAGGATGTACATTGGTGTATGCTTTTGCTGATGATATCCTTCTCGTGGATAAGACAAGAGAAAAAGCCAATGAAAAACTTGAATTATGGAGGTCTACATTGGAGTCTACAAGCCTTCATTTGAGTAGAACTAAAACTGAATACATGGAATGTAATTATAGTAGTAGTAGTTCTAATGATAGAAGTGTAAATTTAGGTGATCAAAGTATTAAAAGGTGTGAACAATTTAGATATCACAGGTTTGTTGTTCAAAGTGATGGTGATATAGATGAGGATGTTAATAGTAGAATTCAAGTTGGTTGGTTGAAGTGGAGGAATGCTTCGAGCCTTTTGTGTGATAGAAAAGTACCGCTTAGACTGAAAGGAAAATTTTATAAGAGGGTGGTGAGACCTGCAATGCTCTATGGCGCTGAATGTTGGCCTTTAAAAGAGAAGCATAATGCTATGTTAAGTGTTGTCGAGATGAGAATGATTAGGTGGATGAGTGGCTTTGCACTTAGAGACAAAATGCGAAATGATTATATTTGTGATAGGGTTGTGTAGCTCCAATGACGGAAAAAATTAGAGAAAGTCGTCTTAGATGGTTTGGTCACATTAAATGTCGACAATCTGACGATCCAATTAGGAGAGTATGTGTTTTAGATTCGATTTATGTTAAGAAAGACAGGTTTACCTAGGAAAACTTGGGCTTATTGTATAAAAAATGACCTTAAATTATTTGAACTAAATGAAAGCATGACACTAAATAAGACGCAATGAAGAAAAAGGATTTATGTAGCCAACCCCACGTAGTGGGATTAAGGCTTTGTTGTTGTTGTTCTAACCATAAGCTCAAGTTTTTTTGTTGAAAATTGCTTCAAGCGATACTACATTTAGTCTAGTTCCTTTAATTTACTTCCTAAAAAAACCTTCATTCGAGGCAAAAAAAAAAAAAAAAAAAAAAAAAAAAAAAAAAAAAAAAAAAAAAATAAACAAAAAAAAAAAGAACCAGAAGTAAAGGCAGCATCCTAGCCAAGCGGCATGCTGACCATCAGCACAAAAGCAAATACCATGACAACAGCTAAATAACAAACAACAAAACCGCAACAAACCTGCGCGAGCACCATTTATTCCCCCTCAGTAACTACCCAAATCACATTTTTAACCACTATAAACTAGAAAGAAAACAGGCATTAAGAGAACCTGAAAAGCGGAAGTTGCTGCACCGAAAACGAAATCCGCAGGGAAGTCGTCTCTGGTGAACTCGGAAAGGCACAGAACTGAGGGATAATGCGCGCAGGACAACAGAAGCACCGCCGTTAGCACCACCTTCGCCATTGATGATCTCCTCCTCCTCCTCCTCCTCCTCTATTTAAAGCTAATTTTGGAGATCTCACTGATCGGAGGCACTCCCCATGGGACCACTGCGGCAGAAAAAGCGATAATTGCCTTGTCTCCTCCATTTTATAGTCATCACGAGGAGCACATGGCTGCAACGGTACCTACCTCCCCCATTTTTTCATGCATATTAAAGCTAGTTTCTAATCAAAGCCTAAGCAAAATGTTGAAATAACCTTATTATGAGAGTAAGGATTGCTCTATTTCCTTGCAACTAGAAATATGGGCCAAGGAGATTGTAGGAACATTTACAAGCTATTTTTTATCCACAAACATAACTATTTATGTTTCTTCTGCTCTGCTACACAATGCTATCTTGTATTATATTGTATTAAATAATTTCTTAATGTTTTTCATGTGTTATATCATTAATTAAAATCGATAATTATTTATTAAAAATACTATAAAGTTTGAAGTTTAACTCGGCATAATCTATATATACATATATATATAATCTATTATAAAATGTATATAAAAATAATTAATAGTTTATTAATAAATAATATTTAATCATTTAAAATAACTACTTTACATTTGACTAATTCATGAGTGATTACTTTTTTAATCTCACCTTATCAACGATTAATTATTCTATAAATCAACATAATAAGTGTGCTTTATTAAATATCAAAGAATTAATTACAAGGCATTTATTTTTGTAGCTAATGAATGTGAAATGTATAAGAATACCTCGTTATCTTTATAATAAAACAATAATTTACTTGCCAACCTACTCACATTAATGACATTACTTCTTTTGTGTACATTTAGTTTATTATACATTCATACTAACAGGTCAATGTCATTGTGTTCTACCTACCCACATAATGGTATTGCGGTGGAATTTATCCTACATCTAATTATATTAGCGCTCAAATTTCTAGTAAAAAAATCATACTTATCGCAAGCCGGAAAATTGACGGCGATAGAGTGTTGATCTAACACTACAAGAAAAATTGAAATTACCGGGAGGTTTTTCCACCCATAAATGTGTGAATTTATGACAGAAACTGTTATACCGGCTGAATTTCAGCGAAAAACAATCAGACACTAAATGCTGATGGCAAAAGATTTTGCGTGCGCCGCTAACTCTTGCAATTCTTTCGAGTCTATTATTAGTTATTGTGTATACTTGCAATGGAAATGATAGATGTATTATTAAGGGATAAACTTGTGTCTGTTGTATTTTGCTGCAAAATTACATTGGATTTGTGTCTGCTTATTTAGTCGTAGTATAGTTTGCGGTAAAATTGATCGGCCACATATTAATGGCTGCATTAGCGGCCAATTTTGTTAGACACTAATTTACGTCAGAAAATCTCGTCATAAATTTGTCACAAACTTGAACTTATATATATATATATATATATATATATAGAAAAAGTAGTATTTTAACTTTTAAAAATATAAGACCAAACTGTTATCATTCAACACTTACATCAACCATTTCTCACAACACAGATTCAATGAACATATAAACAAATTGACAACCAATGAAATCATCATTCATAACTCAAAAAATTTAATAAATCATCAATCCATCAAATCCTAAAATGCATATGAAATAAATACATAGTCCAAACATAAAATAAAATGATACATAAAACCCCTATGGGACATCATCGTCGTCCTCCAACTCCTCCT